ACCTCATCTGTCTCATCAGCACACTCGGTGGAAGAGATTATAGGATTTTGAGTAACGTAGCAATTTTATCTCCTTTTTTTCTACCATACTGAGCCAGAAAGGGAATAAATTACTGCAATGATCACTAGCTTAAATAAAATAGGCAGACCTATCTCTATCGTTGCTTCTTATATACTAAAATTATATAAATCAAGTTTATGAATCTATACCTGACTGTTAGATGCTCTCCATCATTTTATGCAAGTGATTCAGGAGGCAAACAAAGAAAGATGATTAAAAACCTACCGTAGCTCAAGCTTTCTCCATTCAACAAGAATAACAGAAACAAGTTGAATCTCCTCTTGGACTGATACATGTCTGGCAGCATTCCTCTCCCATTCCTGAATGATTAAGAATTAGGATAAGATTAATACAAGGATAGAAAATTATAAGATCGAGCAGTGTGCTAAAATTTGGGCTTGCCTGCATAAGATAAAGAAGAATTTCAAAACCAGTGACAAATTTAATTAGACTATCCGATAGAGAGAAACTTTCAATCCGATTGGCAACGTTTAACATCTAAAAAGAGATAAAGATTGGATTGGACAATGGTAATTTGCAAAATATTGTAGTAACTAGGTAATTTGGATCCTATTAGATAAAGCTGATCCAGTAAGTCCATGTTGAGCCCATGATTAATTTCAAAGCCTGACCTTTGGACTGGACTAGATTAAAATGTGCCTAAACAACGTGATAAATCAAAACTTATACTAGAGCAGTAAATCATAATCAGAAATTTGGGTAAACTTTTCATGAGAGAATAGAAAGAATAACTTAGCGATTGCCAAAATTATTAATGAATACACCTCCATATCCTTAATTAATTTAACCTTTTAGTTTAAGTTAATGTTATACAGCTACCTTAAAGATAATGCATTATATGGAAATTCTTACCCTAACTAGCATCGGCTGTTCAGGCCATTCATCTAGCAGACAGATAATCCGTTGTTTCACTTTACTCAGTGCTTCTCTTCCTTTAGTGGCTTCTGTAGATGGGACGGGGTTTCTGTAGACGTCCAGAGCACGCTCTGAGGTCGGAGCGGCAACTCGATGTTGATCTTGAGATCCAGTAATTTTCCTATTTAGGGCACCAGCTTTACTCTCAATTAAAAGAAGTCCTGACTGTTCCTCCTCATATTTTGTCTCCATATCCGAAGAGGCAATATTGAAATCACTATTTAGAGGGCACATAAAAGCGCTATCTGGCCAGTTTGTACAGTGATTGATTGAAAATGGGAATGCAATCTCGCTATCTCTAGGTCCCGGGCTGGCAGTGGAAGTAGAGAGTTCATAGGTCATGCGGCAGGTAAAGGCGAGATGAGCTAGCAAGCACTCTTCATCATGAAGTTGGTCTTTTTCGAGGTGCAAGAAACAAAGTCCACGGAGAATGTAAGGAATGGAGCATAATATTAGGAAAAGCTAAACATAATGAGAAGGTGATTAAATTTTCTGAGATAACCGTAGTCACAATCTTCTTTTAGTTCACAAATTGGTCTGAATTTATTTTCGCAAACTGATATAGGGTCTCTTTGACGAGTTGTAATATGGTGCTACGAATGGCGAGACTCACTGACGATGCCGGCGAAACTTCTG